AATACTGGGCCGCAGGGGCGCTCCTCATCCCCCTCGTCGCTCAGCTCTGGCGGGGGCGTGCTCCCTGATCTCCGAGCGCGGTGCGGGTTCTTGCCCAGGCCCGCGCCGCCCGAGTCGTTGCCCAGGTGCGCCAGCGCGCGGAACCCCACGCGCCTTCCCCAACGACCGCCTCCCCCCTGTGATCGTCCTCCTTGGGGGGGCCCCGCGTCTCCGCTCCGGCTCCGCGCCAGCCCGCAGGCCACCCTCTCTCTTCCTCCCATCCACAAGTCCTCCCCTCCAAATGGTCCTGTGTCAGCAGCACCGCGGGGGCGGCCCTGGCCGCGGCGGACGGCAGCACTTCGAGGAAGTCCCCGCCAACGTGGTACAGTCGGGGCGCTGAAGAAGGAACCCTTTTCGTTGGGAAGGGGCTCCGTGTTCCTTAAGTGTTTCACAGCTTGCCTCAGGTTTTCCTTATGTCTTCGACGGGAAATCGAAGTTTAACTCATGGAAAGAAGTGGTCTCGTTCTTTATTTAGGGTTCCTTAGGTCAAAGCCCTGACTGGAAGCGCCCCCAGTGGCTCATGCAGGCCGCGCGCGCGTGAACCGGGGCCGCCCCCGGCCTTGACCCGGGGAAGGGCCCCCCCGCTCACGAGGCCCGCGCGGGCACCCAATTTCCTGCCACCGCACATGCTGCCCGCGGCATCCTGCAAGCCTCTGTAGGCCGCCTCCAGGGCGCCCAAGGAGGAGGAGGAGGAGGAGGAGGAGGAGGAGGAAGAGGAGGAGGAGGAGGAGGAGGAGGAGGAGGAGGAGGAGGAGAAGAGGAGGATCAGGAGGAGAAGGAGGCGGAGGAGGAGGAGGAGGAGAGGAGGAGGAGGAGGACAGGAGGAGGAGGAGGAGGAAGAGAAGGAGGAGGAGGATGAGAAGCAGGAGGATGAGGAGGAGGAGCAGGAGGAGAAGGAGGAGGAGAAGCAGGAGGAGGAGGAAGAGGAGCACCGTGGCTTCGTCGCACTTCAGGGCCAGGACCCCGCTGGCGCGCGGCTCTGACCCTTTGACCGACGGGGTTGCCACCGGCGTGCAGCCTTCATCCCGGGTTACGGCCTCATGGGGGCTGGTCCACACACCTTCCCTGAGCCAGAAGCCCGGCGAGGGTGGGGACCGCTCCCACTGCGAATAGCGCCATCATCGTTTGGGCTCAGGGTAGTAACGCTCTTCGTAAAAAGGGGAGGAAGCCTACTGGAGCCCAGGGGCTGCGCGAAGAGAAATGAGAACAATAGGAAAGTCTTACGGCTCCGCATGGGAATCCTATTGTTAAAACCTGCGCACTAACATGAACATGCATTCTCGCATCTCCTGGGCATCCTAAGTTTCGGATCAAAACTGCCCCAAGATGAGATCTTGAAGTCTCCGAGAAAGTCCACGATGCGCGCAAGAAGCCCCAAGACGGCCCAGGAGGCCCACAAAACGGCCCCATGACGACCCACAGATGGCCTGAGAGGCCGTCAGCTGCCTCATAGAAGACCCCAAGTTGCCTCCACGACACTCCAAGATGGCTCCTCGACACCCGCAGACGGCCCTAAGGCTCCCTCGAGCGGCACCGAGACCCAGGAAGGACTCCCGACGGCCCCAAAGATGTGTCCCAAAATAACCCCAGAGAGCCCCCGATAGCCTGAGCTCCTTTCAGGGCTTGAGCCCCCTTTTGTTCCACCCAAGGCAACTCAGCCATTCCGCCGCCCGCTTCATCCCATGCCTATTGGGGGGCCCAGGACGGCTCCAAGACGGCGCTCAAAAAGAGCTCGCACTCCATATCATTCCAAACACCCTTTCGGAAGTGAGCGTGGTTTCCTTTGGGCTTCTCTTGGGCCCCTTCTTGGCCGCCAAGACCACTTCTTCGGGCGCCACAGAACGCGCCTCGCACCCCTATTTCGCCGACAGACCTGAACTCCAAAACATTGCAAGAACTGGCAAATGTGTATGTGTTCCCCCTGGCCAGGGTCACCTGGAAGGGCCCTCGTAGCCAATTATCAAGCTCGTGATTGGGATTTCCAAATGCCGACGCCTTGCACGCTCTGTGGGGTCCTTTGTCTTGGGATGATTATGTGCCCCACTTGGGCCCCGAAAACGAAACGCAAACCTGCTCCGACGCGGGCGTTGAATGGATGGCGTTCGGTCGGGGCTCGGGCCCCAGTGCGGTCATGTTCATGCGTGGGCAGTCTAAAAGCACGCGTGGGTCCCATGAGGCCCTTCTTGAATCCTATTGCTGGCCCACGTGGGGGGTCCAAAGCCGTCGCTGGACCATGTCGTCTTATTTGGGGGTCTTTCTTAACCTCCTTTGGGTAATCTTATCCACGACTGGCGAGAACTATGCACGCGAAGCGTTCTTTATACGCAAGAATGCGTCAGCGCGCCGACGCTGCATCTGGCAAGCATCACTCCTACAAGGAGTCGCGGCGGTTCAGACAGGACGGTCTCATGGTGCACACGTCTTATGAACACTGTGGCGCCTGGTTGAATATCTTAATGGGGCGCGCAGTCGGAGAATTAGAGGGCAAAGACATCCTGCGCCAGCGCATGTACCATGTCCGTTCTCTGTCGAGAACAAATCATTAAGGTTCAACTACGGTTTAGTGATGAAGCCAGCGAGAGTACACACCCTGCACATATATCATGCAACTGAAGCCCTCTCCACCCAAATCTAGCACTGCAAATATACTACAACACTCCACGCTGCTTCAACAGATGCCCTGAACTGTTTCAGATGACCATGTGACGTGTTTCCCTCCATCCAGCTTGGTTTCACGCACGCCTGCCTCCCAATGCAACTCCTGCGCTGCGACTATCTTTGGATGATCCGTGCGTTGCTCTACGAAGGCTGTCGAGATCTTTCATAGGAAGCAATCATCTGGCAGCGAGGAAAGAGGCCAACGGGCGAACGATTTACAAAGCACTCCCTCACACGCGCACACACACACACTCGCAGACACACACACACACACACATACACACACAGACAAGCATACACACCCACACACAATACACACACAGATGTGTTCATTCTCACGCACGCACACACGCACGCAAGCACGCACACACACACACACATACACACACACACACACACACACAAACACAAACACGTGCACCCACACACACACACACACACACACACTCACTCACTTTTTTGGTCGGCGGGGCGAGAGCGAACCTCCTCCGCTAAAAGCTAGGCGGGCTACGCACAGCTTTAATTAGGAAACACACACACACACACACACAAACACACACTTTGCGGCGCTGAGGGTCCTCAAGCGCGAGCAGCAGATGGAGGTACTCATTGACGCAGCAGCACCGCGCACCCGACGACCGTCCAGGCAAGGAGCCAGGGAGGGGCGAAGGCAGCGCGAGCGAGCAGCCGACCAGTGGTCAGGCGCGCGCGATGAGGAGGAGGAGGAGGAGGAGGAGGAGGAGGAGGAGGAGGAGGAGGAGGAGGACATCAAACTCAGACTAAACGCTGCGCGCGAGTTCAGACAGGCAGCTGCACGTGTGCCCCTGTCATGGCATCGAGGAGCGGAGGGTCGGACACCCAGCCCCCGACGCCATCGCAGGCAAAACTGGGAGGTAACGAAGAGGGCAAAGCCAGCGCGAGGAGACGCGCGGTCGTGCCGGAGCACACACGCACACACGCACACACACACACACACACATGCACGCGCACGCACACACACACACAGACACACGCACACACACACACACACATTCACACACACACACACTTTTGGCGTCGCGGCCTCGCGCGCAGCATCAGGGCGTAGCAAGGTCGGAGAAGCGGGCGCGCACGCGAACACACACACACACACACACACACACACACACGACACACAGAACACACACACACACATAAACCAAACCAAGCAAACAAACACACAAAAAACAGCACACACACACACACACCTTTGCAAGCAAAGGCGCCAACCTCTCAGGCGCCGCACAGCTACCTGCGCTCGCCAAGGGCACGCCCCAAGACTCCGGCCAGGCCGCTCATGCCGTGCACAGCTTCCGCACGCGACGCGGACGGTAGGGGGGGGCGTACCCCCCGCAGGCGACGAAAACAAAGTAGAGCACCCATATAAAGGGCGAATGTCTCCACAAAGTCGAGCACCCACAAAGACGAAAACAGAGTAGAGCACCCACATAGAGATTAGATGGAGAAGTGACTGGCATGCCTCCCACACCACGAGCCAGCTGGGAGGCCGACGGGGGAGAATAGAAAGCCAGGCGGAGAGGCGGCGAGGAGACCCCGGGCTGCGACAGCACGAGGCTGTAGACCAACGATCACGGCAGCGACACTGGGAAGGGGAGACAGAGCCATCGCGAGTGCGCGCGTCGCTGTGCACCAGGACGGCGTTCTGGATGCACGTCGGTCGGAAGAGGCAGGTAAAAACATGAAGTAGGCAGGCGGACAAAATAGATTGGGATCGGGCCCTCCCAGAGAATAACGAGGCACGGCAAAAGCAGATTGATTCTTGAAGTGGGAAGACGCTTGAAGTAGATTGGGATCTGGGAATCCAAAAATACCTACTTTCAACGACCGGCGTGTACGGTGATGACGAATCACGAACGAGGAAACGCTGACAGCCACCTATCTCGAAACACACCGCTGAAATCGCACGCCGCCTATGCACGGGAACGTACCCATGCGCGCCGCACCTGTGGATCGTAGGCAAGCATATGGGACCAAGCTGTGAGCAATGGGACCCATGGCCACAAGTGTCCACGTCATGCGAAAACCGCCGAGTAAGTGCGATAACGGCATAATGCGTTCCGATCAGCATGGACAAATGTCCGATCGCCTGAAGCGGGGTGACCCCCCCAGCAAGTAGACCAGGAAGACCTTCGCAAACTCGGCACACACACACACACACAGACTACACAAAAGATCAACGATCCTTGAACCACAATGTCAGTTCTGAGCTCGCAAGAGGGCACCCAACGACTCCACAGCCAACGAGTTGCGTAAAACCGTGAAACACACCGGAATGCTGCATCCGCTCACACGCGGGTGATCCGCAGGCGAAGTACTCGCGACTTGCGCAGGCGCGATTCCCGCGACTTGTGCGGCAGCTGGGGCGGGCACGATCTGGCATAGCCAGGACGGACCGCAGCAGCACCACGAAACCATCAGGAAGCCAGCAGCCGCTGCGCAGGCAGCTGGCAGCCGACAGCCGCCTGGTGGGCAGACCATCCACTGAGAGAGAAATGCAGCGTACGTGTAGAAGCCGCCAGACTATTCATTTCGATGGGTAACAATAGAGAGGAATCGGCTCAGGGGGGGGAACACCGCAGATAGAGCGGCGGTAGGCCCTCGATAGCGAATCCGCACGTTCCAGGGCGGCGTGGACTATCGGGCACCTATCGGCGATCTATGGGCGATTGGGGGTCGACGCATCCCGCACCTGAGCCTATGCCCTGGTGGTTTTCGGATCATAACTCGGGCATCTCGCGGGTGTTCGGGACAATCGGGGCACCCCCGGAACCCCCTCGGCCAGTTGCAGCTGATGGAAGGCACCCCGAGGCTGGGAAACCGCCGAGAACCGACGAAAACGCCCGAACACCTCCGCCCTCAATTTCGAAATTTCCACTCGAGGCGTCTCGAAGTCTACCACATGGATCCGCCCCGAACGTGTCCCCCCGACAGCCTCCGCGAGGCCGCAGCCCACGAGGCTGGAGCTCGGCTGCATTCCCCCCCCGAGCCCCTCCTCCCCCCCCTGACGCAAGGGGCCCAAGGACACGCAAATAAATACACACAAATAGCGAGATCCCCTATATACATTCCCATATCTTCTGGGTTTTTGCCTTCCCCCCCACTTCCCATATGTTCCTACGTGTCCTGGGGAATCGACGATTAAGTGTGTCTGCTTGTTTTCTCCCCTCCTGGCCGACGTTCCCCCCGACACGCTGCACACGACGTGCGGACGCCCTGCTCGGCCCGCGCAGAGGCGGAGGAGCCCCGTGGGGACGCCTGCCGCGTGAGACGAGCCAACAACACACACACACACACACACACATAGAGGTAGGGCGACGAGATCTATACATATCCACTGCTCCTGGCCAAGCCCATCCTGGGTCCAGGAGCGGTGTATGTGTCCCCCTGGCTAGGCCACGAGGGCGAATGCACCGCTCCCGGGCCCAGGATGGGCCTGGCCAGTAGCAGTGGATATGTATAGATCTCGTAGCCCTAAGAGGGGTCGGAGAGGGCTACGGGTGCGTATTGTCGGATGGGGGTCCCCGCTCGAGCGGGAGCGTTCCCCAGGGTCCGACGACCCGCACCCATATCCATAGCCAGTCCTCCTCCCAACGACCCCCCTATGGGTATGGGTGTGCGTTGCTCGTTCGTCAACGTGGGGCAGCGAGGGGCCTGCCTGCCCACGCCACAGCCCACAGCGCACAGCCCTGGCCACCTGGCCACCGTCATCCAACCCGATGCCCACCCACCCACCCCTGGCGAGCCCGGCGGGAGAGCCAGGGGAGAGGAAAAGCAGTACACACAGATACGATTAGAAATAATTACACTAGGGAAAAACCCAATCACTAAGATCGATTGGGAGATCGATAGTGAGATCGATAGTGGGACCGATGGTGAAAACGGTAGTACGGTTGATCGTGAGACCGATAGTGAAGTCGATTCAGTGAAATCGATCGTGAGATCGCTCGTGCAATCTATAACAAGTTCGATTGTGAGGATCGATAGTGAGATCGATAGTGCCATCGATAGAGAGATGGGCAAAAAGATCGCTGGCGAGACCGAACGACAAGCAGATCGACCAGGAAACTGGGACACCGGAAACCCTGGAACCCCGACGCCCACCGAAATCGGCCCTGAACCATCAGCGGGGAACCCGGGAACCCGGAACCTGGAACTGGGGAACTGGGCGGCCCACCGAAATCGGCCGCTCACTTTCGCCAAATCCTTCAAGATCCGCCAGGACCCCTTCAGTGCAAGCACTGATTGGGGAATGATATGTTCATTGGGCAGCATTGGGGGCCACGCCATGAAAGAGTCACAGGTCAAGAGCTCCCTGTCACGCCGTGGAGCGCGGTCCCACAGTGGGCAGTACGCAGTCTCGCGATGGGATCCGAGAGCGGGGCTCCGAAACTCGAAAGGCGCAGAAAAGAAGTCTTTGTACATGAGAAGTCTGAGGCCACAGTCTTCGTCGATCCTTGAGGGCCCTCTGTGCCCCAGGGCTTCTGTGGAGCACCTCCGCGGGGCACCTGCGGGCAGGCCGGGGCTTGGCTCGGAGTGCGCCCATCTTGGTGAAGGCAAAAACCCATCCGCAGCCGTACTGCGGGATGACGATGAATTAAAAAATGGGAGAGAACGATTAAATAAAGTAGTTTTCTGCTATTTCTGCACAGTTGTCTGACTGGAGGAGAACGATTAAAAACATAGTTTTCCAGCCCGCGGCCGGTTTTTTCTAATCGTCATCCCGGGCGCCGCCGCGTGAACACGACCCCCAGTCATTTATTCATCGTCATCCTCCATTACCAGACGCCCCACTGCACGCCAGCAAGCGGGACACCTCCGTGGTGAGCCCCGCGCGAGAGCCGGGGGGCGGCGTGGCGCAGTGGCGGTACCGTGCGCGGTCTGCCGTTGCGGACACGGTAGCAGGTCGGCACGGGGGGGCAGGCGCCACTGAGCGCCGATCGCGGGGTGCGAGGAGGGAAGTCACCAAACGCTGGGGCGCGAGCCAGCCGCCCCCTTCTTACAGTCGGACTTCATTGGACGGGACACGCGAGAGGACACAAGACCCTTCCGAGGGCCACATTGCCGAAGGAATGCAGGAGGCACGGGTCGCGAGGCACAGGACACAAGGGTACCCTTGATTTGGCAGGGCCGACCTACTAATCCGGGCCGACTGTACGAGACGGACGCTATGACGCCGTCGCCGCCACGGTAGGAGCCCGGTGCGCCGCGACCGCCCTGGCCATCCCCAAGCCACAGCTGTGCAGCCATGGGCCCTCAGGCAGACGTGACGCATGGACGCCAAAAATCTGTGTTGGCAATGCCTTGCGAAATCTGTCCCAAAAAGCGTGGGACGGCATACCGATCGAGGAGCCCGCTGAATCTGCATGACCTGCGAGCCCCAGAGGCAACGGCCCCTACAAGTGGGTGAAAGCGTTCTATCTTCTTTCCCCCCACCATCCTGTGATGTTGGGGCCTCGTTTTTCCCTACCTAGGCTCTGCCCAGAAGGGCTCTTACTTTATATCATCTTAGCTTAGCTTAGCTTAGCTTAGCTTAGCTTAGCTTAGCTTAGCTTTGCCTAGCCTAGCCTAGCCTAGCTTAGCTTAGCTTAGCTTATATCATCCTAGCTTAGCTTAGCTTAGCCTAGCTTAGCATAGCTTAGCTTACCTTAGCTTAGCTTAGCGCAGCGCAGCATAGCGCAGCGCAGCATTATCACAGCATAGCATAGCATAGCATAGCCAGTCATAGCATAGCATAGCATAGCATAGCATAGCTCGGCACACATAGCATAGCATAGATGTAGGTGTAGGTGTAGATGTGGATGTCGGTGTTGGTGTCGATGTATATGTATATGTAGATGTAGGTGTAGATGTAGATGTAGATGTAGATGTGAGTCTCGCTGTTGATGTTGATGTGGATGTAGATGCAGGTGTATATGTAAATGTAGCTGTCGGTGTAGATGTAGGTGTTGCTTTCCTAAATGCTCCAACTCCTAGGTAGGGTCGCACTGGGATAATTATGAGACAGCGCCCCGCGTGCCGCAATCCTCCTCCTCCTCCTCATCCTCCTCCTCATCCTCATCATCCTCCTCCTCTTCCTCCTACTCCTCCCACTCCTCCTCCTCCTCATCCTCATCCTCCGCCTCCTCCTCATCATCCTCCCATCCTTGGCTCAGCCCTCCGCACAACCCTTTGGGCACCATTTCGGCACACCCCTTACATCTTTCGTGCCCCCATCGGGAACTCAACCGAAGGCCCCAATGGCAGGGTCCACATGCGTTCCCCCACCCCGTTTCGTCACACCCATCACACGTTCCGTGACCCCTTTGGGGTTCCACCAAAGGCCCCAGTGGCAGGGTCTACATGCGTCTCCCCGCCCCATTTCGGCACACCCCTCAAGCGCTTCGTGCCCAAATAGGGAGCCCAACCGAAGGCCACAATGGGAGGGGCTGCATGCGTCCACCCGCCCCAGCTCGGCACGCCCCTCACGCGGTTCGTGGCCTCACAAGGAGCTCCACCGAAGGCCCCCACGGTAGGGAATGGTCCACATGCGTCCCCCCGACCCATGTCAGCACAACCCTCGCATGCTTCGTGACCCCATGGGGAGCTCCACTTAAGGCACCAGTGGCAGGGTCCACATGCGCCCCCCCGCACCATCTCCCGACACATGTCGACATACCCCTCAAACATGCCGTGCTCCCATAGGGAGCTCCACCGAAGGCCCCAGTGGCAGGGTCCACATGCGTCCCCCCGACCCATCTCGACACACCGCTCACACGTTCCGTGCCCCCACAGAAAGCTCCACCGAAGGCCCCAGTGGCAGGGTCCACATGCGTCCCCCCGCACGATTTCGGCACACCACTCACACGCTTCGTGGCCCCATCAGGAACTCCACCGAAGGCCCCAGTGGCAGGGTCCACATGCATCCCCCCGCACCAATTCGGCACACCCCTCACACGCTTCGTGGCCCGTATGAGGAACTCCACCGAAGGCCCCAGTGGCAGGGTCCACATGCGTCCCCCCGCACCATTTCGGCACACCCCTCGTTTCGTGGCCCCATAGGGAGCTCCACCTAGAGCCCCCATGAGAGGGCCCACATGCGTCCCCCCACAACATTTCGGCACACCCCTCACGCGCTTCGTGGCCCCATAGGGAGCTCCACCTAAGGCCACAATGGGAGGGTCCACACGCGCCCCCTATGCAGGAACTGTCCGGATAGGAGGGGAAGGGGGCAACGAAGAAGGAAAGAAAGGAAGAACGAACTAAGAAGTGAGATGAAACTGCGGTGCAGGCCCTTACCTTGATGGCACCCACGCGCTTCTCCTCCGGCGCGCCAGTGAGCCCAACCAGCGGAATACGACGGGGGGCCCTCGAAGAGCGCATCGGCCTCCCTGGCGGAGCGGCACCGAACGCCGCGCGCCGGGCGGCAGCAGAGCACGGAGGCCGGGCGCTGTGCGGGAGCGGAGGGCGCAAGACAGCACAGGGCAGCACGCCAAGGGCCTGCCCGACCGAGGAGGACTTGGAGGCCTGGAAATGGGCACCAACACCAAAACAGGGGGGTTGCCTCCACAGGGGGAGGAAGATCCTGGACTTCGGTGCTGGCGGCAAGATTTCGGCCACCTTGGAAGACAGAATAGTACCACCATCACCGAGATCGGGATCATCATCCCACGGGGGAGGAACACCGCCGACATTGGCGTTGGTGCCAACCTCGAGGCCTGCGAAGGACGGGGACCCAGACCCCCGACGTAATGATTTTTTCACTACGTCGACCCCCGTAGGTCCCGACCCTTTCTCCATGACCGGCTTTGCATCCTGAGTCGTTTTTTGACACTCCCGAGGCCCGGTGAGGGCCCCCCGAGGCCGAAAATTAGGAAAAACCTCCCGTCCTGATTTTTTCATTACTCGAGGGGGTCTGGGGAGGAGCGGTGGGCCACCGCGGAGAGCGGCGCCGGGCAGCGGAGGAGCGGCCGGGGCGCACGCCAAGGGGAGCGGCGGCGGAGGGCCACGCGGGCAGGCCGAGATCGGGGCACGGCTGGGGGGCGGCACTGTGGAAGGCCACGGGGCAGGCGGCAGAGAGGGGAGAAGGCGGAGGAGGAGGAGGAGGAGGAGGAGGGGGAGGAGGAGGAGGAGGAGGAGGAGGAGGAGGAGGAGGAGGAGGAGGAGGAGGAGGAGGAGGAGGAGGAGGAGGAGGGAGGGAGGGAGAGGAGGAGGAGGAGGAGGAGGCGGAGGAGGAGGAGGAGGAGGAGGAGGGGGAGGAGGAGGAGGGGGAGGAGGAGAAGGAGGAGGAGGAGGAGGAGGAGGAGGAGGAGGGAGGAGGAAGAGGAGGAGCCGGAGAAAGGGAGGAGGAGGAATCAGAAGAAGAAGAAGAATAAGAAGAACAAGAAGAAGACGGGCAGACGGGGTTGCCACGATCACAGACACACACACACACACACACTTTTGGCCGTCGCGGCCACGCGCGCGGCGGCGCGGCGCAGAAAGGGCTGGAGAAGCAGGCGTACCAGCCCCACGCACACAGCAGACAAACAAGCAAGTACACGCACAACCGACCAAGCATGTGCAAGAAGCAAGAGGGTAGACTCACAGTCCAATGAAGCAAAAGACGGGCCTGTCCATAGGAAAAGATCCTGGCAATCCCCAAGACCATCACACTCTAAGACCAAGGTAACACCTGCCATCCAGAACTCCATGTGATCATGCCCGCCCCTGGTACCGCCTCCTCCAAGTGCGACATGCATATAAGTTCTCACGATTGTCTGCATACACGCGAACAGCTAACGGTGGAAAGCCTGCAAACAGAAGGTCTGAGCAACAACAACGACTCTGAAGAATGAGGAACATTAAAAAAGAGCAGCGTCAAGCCAGATACATGCGACGACACCAAGCATATGCTCGATTCATGGTTTCTAACCGAGCGTAGAAGACTTATTGCGAGCTGTGTTCTTGCATTCTGGCTTTCCTGCGCATGCGCACATGGCGTGCTTAATGACTTGTGTTGCTATTGTCCTGGCCTGCCTTCTGGTGTGCGTGTGACTGCCTCGTGCAACCGCGCGTGCGCTCACATCACTGCGTGCGCTGATTGCGTGTTTGCACATCGTCGCGTGCTTCTTGCCTGCTCGCGCTTATTTGATTGATTGATTGATTACGCCGACCTGCTTTCTTTCACTGGCGTGATTGCTTGCGCCTGCGTGCCAACTAAATGTGATGCGTGTATCTTATTTCGTGCGTGCGCTTGCCAGAGCATTGCTGCCCTAGCTTACACGTGCTTCCTGAAACAAACTACAAGCAGGTGACCGTGTAAACATGTGTTTGCTTGCGTGCACTCGCCTGCGCATGCACGCGCTTGCTCGGTTGCTTGCTTGACGTTGATTGCTTGAGGTTGCTTGCGCTTAAGTTCTTGCCTGACTGCGCGTACTTGCCTAGTTCGCTGTTTGCGAGCATACATGCACGCCTGCATGCCTGGTAGAACCCAAAGCGCTTAGTACAAGAAGTGCTCCAATACCTGCTTGCATGACTGCGTGAATGCAACTCTGGTATTGCGAACATGTCCTTGAGCATGCTTGCCTACGCTTGCCCATGCAACCTTGAATCCTTGCGGTGGCTTCTGAAGGAATGCAGCCCCTGCAACGAAAGTAGAAGCCGTACCCTTAAACAGAGAGAGGGAATGGAACATGCTCGCATAGACATGGTACGGTGAGGACCATGGATAAGGAGCAATTGGGTAAGGAACTCAGCGTCCGGAGGCCAGTGGAGCTCCAATTGAGGCATGGTCATGGATATCACAGCCGCCCTCATCATATAAGGCATCCTCCAAGGTCTGAAGCCTTCTGGGCACGTTCGTTAACCAATGTCCCTATCGTATTCCAAGGTGCTCCTGGATTTGCCATCTGATAAAGGTACACTGCTGGGCAGGTAATTTCATGTTTCCAGTATGGGCTACACACCGACGCCCACAAAATATACAGGACCACCTCAGAAAACAGGATCCAACACCGGGTTGCTAGCGCGTCAAAGTGTGCCAAGACACGTTTCAAAGTCGATTGCTCTTCGCGGAACACTGGTCACGGTCCGCACGACACGGGCGCCCAGATACACTCATGTACATCACAAACTGCTGCCGTTCACGTGCGACCACCGAAGCAAGATTGCACTAAGACCATGATATGGCAACGCCCGCGCACACACACACAAACACAAACACACACACACACAGACACACACACACACGCACACACAAACACACACACACACACACATACGCACGCACAAACACACACACACACATACAAACACACACACACACACACACACACACACACACGCACGCGCGCACACACACATACCACACACACACACACAAGCGCGCGCGCACGTGATACTGCAATCAAGCACCAGGAGTGAGCGCAATTTGTGGGGTGTCATGTTCAGCCCTCCCGCACCCAGCGGCCCGCGCCTCGGCCGCTACTCTCGCTCATCCTGCGCGGCACAGGGCGGCACATCTCATCATCATCAGCATCATCACCATCATCAGCGGCATCAGCAGCATCACCATCATCATCAACATAAGCATCCACAGCATCAGCATCATCATCAGCAGCATAATCATCATCATCACCACCACCAGTATCATCCCCTCCGCAACCACCATCATCACCATCATCATCGTCGTTATCATCATCATCCTCATCATCAGCAGCAGTCCCGTCGTCATCGTCGAATCACCATCATCATCAGCGAACTCATCAGCAGCATCGTCACCAGCAGCAGGAACATTATCCTCATCATCCTCATCGTCTGCATCATTGTCATCATCTTCATCATGCACATCGCGGCGCGCCACCCGCCTCCTCAAGCTCACCCACTTCCTCATCCTAATCATCATCATCAGAGCCACCATCCTCATTATCCTCCTCATCCTGATAATTATCAGCATCACCCCCCTCTTACCACGACATCCGTATTAAGCAACGAATCGTGCTGCGTCTGGCATAATCCGCCCCCTCTTTCTCAGGCACGCCATGATGATCAGCATCATCATCATCATCATCATCATCATCATCATCATCATCAGCATCAGCATCAGCATCATCATCAGCATGAGCATCATCATCATCATCAGCATCATCATCAGCAGCAGCAGTATCAGCATCAGCATCATCATCATCATAATCATCATCATCATCAGCAGCAGCAACATCATCACTACCAGTACCACCATCGTACTCAGCACCTTGATCATCGACATTACCACACCCGTCGTCATCATCACCACTATCAGCATCACTACCACCACCACCACCACCAGCGTAGCCATAACCAACGTACGATGCATCATCACAATCATCAGCCGCATCGCCATTATCATCGTCATCATCATCAGCAGCAACATCAGCATCGTCGTCATGATCCTCATCATCATCGTCATCATCCGCATCATCATCCTCATCATCAGCAGCATCAGCAGCGTCAGCATCATCATCAGCAGCAGCAGCATTCGTAGCATCATCGGCACCAGAAGCATCGTCATCATCGAAGTCGGCCTTATCAGAATCACTAGCAACATCATCATCATAATCATGAGCGACAGCATCGTCATCATCGTCATCATCATCATCATCATCGGTGTCATCAGCATCATCATCGCTGCATCGCCATTACCATCGGCAGCATAATCGCTAACAGTACCAGCATAACCACCAGCATCATCATCATCAGCATCATCATCGTCATCATCATTATCATCATCAGAATCATCATCATCATCAGCATCATCATCATCATCAATGTGACCATCCTCATGCTCATCCTCGTCATCGCCGTCGGAATCATCAGCAGCAGCAGCATCTTCATCTTTATCCTTACCGTCATTATATTCACCATCATCAGTGGAATATGCATCATCTTCGTCGTTAACATCATCGCGATACCGTCATTACCATCACCATCCTAATCACTAACATCATCATCATCAGCAGCATCATCATCATCCTTATCATCATCACCAGCAGTAGCATCGTCATCCCCATCATCGCAATCATCAGCTGCATCATCATCATGACCACCCTCATCAATCATCACCATTCGTGGCCCCATAGGGAGCGCCACCGAAGGCCCCAGTGGCAGGGTTTACATGCGTCCCCGCGACTCATTTCGGCACACCTCTCACACGGTTCGTGGCACCATAGGGAGCTCCACCGACGGCCCCAGTGGCAGGGTTTACATGCGTCCCCGCGGCTCATTTCGGCACGCCCCTCACACGGTTCGTGGCCCCATAAGGAGCTCCACCGACGTTACCAATGGCAGGGTTTACACACGTCCCCACGACTCATTTCGGCGCACAAGTCACACGGTTCGTGGCCCCATCAGGAGCTCCACCGACGTCACCAATGGCAGGGGTTACACACGTCCCCGCGACACATGTCGGCACACCACTCACACGGTTCGCGGGTCAATTTACATGCGTCCCCGCGACTCAGTTCGGCACACCCCTCACACGGTTCGTGGCACCAGAAGGAGCTCCACCGACGTCACCAATGGCAGGGTTTACACACGTCCCCGCGACTCATTTCGGCGCACAAGTCACACGGTTCGTGGCCCTATAAGGAGCTCCCCCGACGTCACCAATGGCAGGGTTTACACACGTCCCCGCGACTCATTTCGGCACACCACTCACACGGTTCGTGGGTCAGTAGGGAGCTCCACCGAAGGCCCCAGTGGCAGGGTTTACATGCGTCCCCGCGACTCATTTCGGCACACCCCTCACATGGTTCGTGGCACCAGAAGGAGCTCCACGCAAGGCCCCAATGGCAGGGTTGACATGCGTCCCCGCGACTCATTTCGGCGCACCCCTCACACGGTTCGTGGCCCAATAAGGAGCTCCGCCCAAGGCCTCAGTGGCAGAGTTTACACGCGTCCCCGCACCTCATTTCGACAAAGAGACGCTTGCGCGAGGCCCCTGGAATTCTCCACAGCGAAAGGCCCCTGAACCTCTCGACCCCGCTGGGCCCCCTCCTCCGTCTCATCTCCATCACGGCACTCGCACCTGCATATGGTTGGCTCCTTCGTCAGGCAAATCCTCAATATTTGCTTTTGATTCTCTGGGGACCCTTACCAGGCCTCGGGACCGTCAAAAAACAACTAGGGATGAGCAAACGGTCCCGGGGAAGGGGTGGGGATTTCCAGGGACAATCGAGGCTACACGCAAGAACGACCATATGCAAGAGTGACCTCTGGCGCGCGGCTTCTGGGGCCCAAGTCCAGGCGCGCAAGCATCGCACTCGGCGATATCCAGCCATCGGGGGACCCCAGTGGGCTGGCACCAAAAGGTCACTCTGGCGAAAGATCACTCCCACGTGTAACCTGTACGGAAAAAATGACTGCGATGCCCAACAGCGAATTTTGTCCAGAACCGACACCAGACGCTGTGGGGCAGGCGACATGTAGTTGCAAATGGGTATAGCCCGCGACGGCACCGACAGCGAAACGTTCCAAAATGTACAGCTAACGCTCTTACTCTTCGTACCCAGTGTTCCCCTACCCATTTCGATCGTACCGATGCCCGATCTCAGGGGAGGGGCGGCGTCGGACGCTTTTGGCATCGGCGGCTAGGCAGGGGACGCCTGCGCTGGCGATAGGAGACCTCAACGAGGACGCCGTTAAAGCGAATTGTCCCACCATGCCAGAGGCGCAGTATTGGATGACTGCTGCTTCTGCCGCCGGGAGGGGCAACAAGTCGTGCCCCCCCACCCTCACTTGAACGAAGGATTGCAACAACAACAAAAAAACCGGATTGCAAAAAAAAACCTTCGTTCGGGGGAGGCGCGGCCGGGGCGGCGTCAGACACGCGGGCCGGCGCAGTCCAGCCAGTGCGTCCGCTTGCCTGCGGCCCAGGCGCCGCGGCGGGAGACCCTGTCCTGCGGAGCGGGGCGCGGCAGGAGCGGGGCGGCCGCAGGGAGAGGACCCGCGCTGTGTGGAGAGGCCTGGAAAGTCCTTCTTCTCCTCCTCCTCCTCCTCCTCCTCCTCCTCCTCCTCCTCCTCCTCCTCCTCCTCCTCCTCCTCCTCCTCTTCTTGATCATCATCACTCATCAGCTTCATCCAAAACCGTCAATCATCATTAGCATCGTCAACATCATCATCATCATCATCATCATCATCATCATCATCATCATCATCATCATCATCATCATCATAATCATCATCATCATCATCATCATCATCAGCATCATCATCATCATCATCATCATCATCATCAGCATCATCAGCATCATCATCCTCAGCATCATCATCATCACCAGCAGCTGCAGCAGCAACAGCAGCATCATGATCATCATCGTCCTTATCCTCATCATCATGATCATCAGCATCATCGTCACCATGAGCAGCATCAGAATCGTCGTCGGCATCGACATCATCATCATCATCATCAGCATCATCATCGTCGTCAGCAGCACCATAATCAGCATCATCATAAATATCATCATCACCACCATCATCGCAATCATCATAATCATCGTACTCATCGTGATCATCAGCAGCAGCAGCATCATCAATTATTCTCACACCAATCATCCACAACAGCATCGTCGTCAAAATCATCATCATCATCATCATCATCATCATCATCATCATCAGAAGCACCATCAGAAGCATCATCACTATCAGCATCATCATCATCATTGACAACATCAGCATCGTCACCATTATCATCAGCATCACAATCCTCATCATCAGCATCATCAGCATCGACATCAGCATCAGCATCAGCATGATCATCATCCTCAGCATCATCATCAGCAGCACCAGCCTCATCGTCATCATAATCATCAGCAACAGCATCAATTCCTTCATCCTCGTCATCATCCTCCTTCTCCCCTCCGCCTCCTCCTTCTCCTCCTCCTTCTCCTCCATCCTGCTCCACCCCCTCCTCCTCCTCCTCCTCCTCCTCCTCCTCCTCCTCCTCCTCCTCCTCCTCCTGCTCGTCCTCCTCCCCGCGCCTCCTCCTCCTCCTCCTCCTCCTCCTCCTCCTCCACCTCCTCCTCCTCCTCCTCCTCCTCCTCCTCCTGTTCCGCCTCCCCCTCCTCCGCCTCCCCCTCCTCCTCACTGGTCATTGGATCTGCCATCCAGAACCTTTCCACAAGCCCTGCGGCATCTGTCGCCGCGATGCCACCCTCCCCCCCACCCAGCACCCACGACATTCAATGCCAAGACGGCACCAGGCGTCCCCAAGGCGGCCTCCATGACGACTTCGGGTGGTCGCGTTAAGAAGCAAGGCACTTCGGGTGGTCGCGGCTTCCACCACGACTTCGGGTCCTCGACCCCAGCAAAGCACTATGATAGCAGCCAAGGTGAAGAGGCGGGTCGAGAGGTAGGAGGTCGGCTATATGGGCCAGGGGTGAGAGCACGGCCGCGTGCACCGCAGTACATCTCTCACAAGGGATCGTGGCAGACAACAAATGTCGCCGGCATTGAGGCGAGAGCACGACTCCCTGCATAAGGATGGAAAGTCTCAGGCGAAACGACTGCCGGAAGAGACTGCCAGACCAGTCGGTCTGAGGCTCCCCGACCACTCTGTGGGACCTTTCTGCTGTCCTTTTGACCACGATCGAAGACCTCTGGCGAAGCGTGAATAGAGAAAGAATGAGCCAGGAGCTGACCAAAACAAGAGTTGTGAAACATCTTTCTGCTACTGCAGTCAATGGAATTCTGCTGCTGGCGGTGGAAGATTACGGCACATGTGTCTGTATCGGGGCATCCCTGGGGCGCTACTCGCGCTTCGATCGTCGCTGCAAACGTGGCGCTCTTGAGAAGAAGGAATGCTAGCACCTCGCCACCCGCGCTCTCCCCTCCCCTCTCCTCGCCCCTACCATCTATACGTTAAAGCCCTACACAGGGTGCGCTCCAGCACTGCATTTTTACAGGCGCTAGCGCTCCACCAGCCCACGGAGTGCGCTCAGAGACAGCACGTTGACAGCGCGCGAGACGTCCACAAGTTCGCTCAGAAAACAAACGACGTCGCCGTCGCCATTGCCGTCGCCGTCGCCATCGCTGTCGCCGCCGTGGTCGTCGTCGTCGTCGTCGCCGCTCTCGCCGTCGACGCCGTCGCCGCCGCCGCTGTGATCGTCGCCATAGCAGCCCTCGCCGTCGCCGTCGTCGCCGTCGCCGTCGCCGTCGCCGTCGCCGTCACCATCGCCGTCACCGCCGCCGCCACCACCGCCGCCATCGCCATCGTCGCCGTTGCCAGTCGTCGTGGTCGTCGTCGCCGCCCTCGCAGTCGCCGTTGCCACAGTCTTGCCCAACATTCGCACTGACTGTATGCAAAGACGCTTACTCCAGGAAAAGACAGTGACTGTAGGCAAAGACACGCAGGATAACAGCCTGGAGCGTGCTTGCAGAACTCGGCTCACGACCTGAGTAGCGAAGCAACGCAGAAAAAAAATGACAGGAAGGTCAGTATCCCGACAGATAAAGCGGTACCGGACACTGCCATCGACAAAATCCCCTAGTAGGGAAATACGTGATCCGGCAAGGGTCGGGAGGAGGAGAGGGGGAGGAGGAGGAGAAGGAGGATCTCCATCTAGGACAAGCGCCAGAGGATCACGCCTCTGGGCGACAAATCTCGCGGGTGCCTCCTGCGACGATGGGCTGGCGGCCGTTCTTTGGGGCTCTCCACCGCTGCCGCTGAGGCAGGAGCGAGGCGGGAGAAGGGACGCGACCGCAACCCTTGCAGAGCCGCGATCGCAGGGCAGCCTTACACGATGGGGATGGAGCTATGACAGCTGGCGCGGTCAGTACGAGGGGAACCGAAGGCTCGCTCGCGGAAAATTCTCCACAGAAACGCAGCAGCCCTGGCGGGCAATCGCAGGCACCTGCGCCCCAAAGCGCCTACCAGTGCAAAATCTGTCCGCGAATCCCCACGCAAATCGAGAGGCTGGGCCTGCGGGGCAGTATGAGCCACAAGAGATTAGACGCATGACTCTGCGAAGCGCGGAGCGCAAACTGCAGACAGCGGCACCGTCCCCCCCCCCCCATTGGCTGCCAAGGTCCTTCGACATCTGCACGCCCTCGCCGTGCTGCCGCCCTTCCTGGCGATGGGAAATTCAACAACAATCACAAGGAAACGAGACTACGCCCGCTCCTGCTACCGCGCCTCGCTCCTGCTGCCCTGGCTCTCCGCTCTGCTGCTGCTCGTGTTCCTGGAGGGGGGGGGAGGAGGAGGAGGAGGAGGAGGAGGAGGAGGAGGAGGAGGAGGAGGAGGAGGAGGAGGAGGAGGAGGAGGCAAGGGGAGGAGGAGGGAGGAGGAGGAGGAGGAGGAGGAGGAGGAGGGAGGAGGAGGAGGAGGGAGGAGGAGGGGGCGGAGGAGGAGGAGGAGGAGGAGGAGGAGGAGGAGAAGGAGGAGTAGGAGGAGGGGGAGAGGAGGAGGAGGAGAGGAGGGAGGGGGAGGAGGAGGAGGAGGAGGAGGAGGAGGAGGAGGAGGAGCAGCAGCAGCAGCAGCAGCAGCAGCAGCAGCAGCAGCTCCTGCTCCAGCGCATGGTCATACTACCCCCCTGCTGACCCTGCCGCTGCCCCCGATGGCTGCCCCGCGGGAGCCGCTGCCGCGCGGCGCGGGAGGAGAGGAGGGAGGAGAGGCAGCGGGAGGGGGAAGGAGGAGAGGAAGGAGGAGGAGGAAGGGAGGAGAGGAAGGAGGAGAGGAAGGAGGGGGAGCGCGGGAGGAGAGGAAGGAGGAGAGGAAGGAGGCGGGGGGGGGAGCCGCAAGACGCAAGACTCAAGACCCGAGACGTGGCGAGGCCAGCGGGAGGGGGAGCGGGAGCCGAAGGAAGAAGGGAGGAGGGCAAGGGGAGGGGGAGGGGAACGGGGGGCGGGAGGAGAGGAAGGAGGAGAGCAGCGAGAGGGGAAGGCGGGAGGGGGGGAGGCCACAAGACTCAAGGCTCAAGACCCAAGACGTGGCGAGGCCCGCGGGCGGGGGAGCGGGAGCCGAAGGGGGGAGGAGGAGGGCGCGGGAGGGGAGGGGGACGGGGGACGGGGGGCGGGGGGAGAGGAAGGAGGAGAGGCAGGGGAGGGGCAAGGCGGGAGGGGGAGCCACAGGACTCAAGACTTAAGACCCAAGACGTGGCGAGGCCCGCGGGAGAGGGAGCGGGAGCCAAAGGGGGAGGGAGGAGGGCGAGAGGAGGAAGGGGAGGGGCCACGGGGGGGGCGGGGGGAGGGAGGAGGGGGAGAGGCAGCGGGAGGGAAGGCGGGAGGGGGAGACACAGGACTCAGGACTCAAGGCCCAAGACGTGGCGAGACCCGCGGGAGGGGGAGCGGGAGCCGAAGGGGGGAGGGAGGAGGGCGAGGGGGAGGGGGACGGGGGACAGGGGGGGGGAGGGGGAGGGGGAGGGGGGCAGAATCCTTGAGATACTCAGGGGGAGGGGGGCAGAATCCTTGAGGTACTCATGTGTTGGACGTTTGCACACAGGGGGCAGAACCGCTGAACGGCTGAGGACGAGGAGCAGCACAGGGGAGGAGAAAGGGCCAGGAGCGACCCCGTCGAGCAGGGCATCCCATCGGCAGCAAGTCGCACGTGTAGCGATTGCGCTGGGCGCGAACCCTCGCCGGGGCTGGGGCGTCCTCTCGAGTTCGAAGCGAATCGAAAGCAGTCAGTACAAGATCGGGGTGACCATATCACCATGTGATCGATAGTTGGCTATAACGTGGAGGCCGTGTAAAAACATGGCGTGAGAGGTTGCGGGCCCAAGCACGAAGGAGGTAAGCGAGGGATACAGAGCGGAGGGACCGGCGAAAGGGGTTGGTGGCAAAATCTGAACGTGCTCGAGGAGAAGAATCAGAATATGACACCGTGCCTCCTGTCACGTTGAGGCGTGGAAGAATGACACGTGCTGCCTGGCAGGGTTTCTGCAGTTTTCTAAAGGACCCACCCACCCCTCACGTCGCGCCCACCTGCATGCACCACCCCTACTCCTGAAGGTCCCTGGGCAGTCACGGCGTCTGCCTGGGCTGGCTCGGTGGCAAGATTTGCCGTAGGCAGCTGAAGAAATCCGGGATGCAGCAGCTCCAACAGGGCCCCAAGAGGGGCCCAAGAGGGGCCCAAGAGGGGCAACTCGAGACCGCCAGCAGGCGACAAAGAAGACCAAAAGAGGCCCCCGAATGGTCCCCTCGAAGCCCCCAAGTCGACACCAAGACCTTTCTTTCTTTCCCACCGCCTAAGTCAGATCCCTGACGGCTGTACCTAACGCTTCGGTCACCCACCTCGCCCCACACTCTACCGCGATCGCTTCGGACTCAAACACAGAAATACTTCCTGACAGATAATGACCTTCCGCATGCCATGGTTCATATACCAAGACGCTCTCAGACATGGTGAAGAGGCCGACCACTACAGAAGCTGCTGCGCACGTGTGTCCCCGTTTCCCACCGTCGGTCTGTACAACGATGTTCGCGTGCAACGGGTCGAGCTTCACTGGGAAAGTTTTCTTCCAAGACGTCCCCTGGTCCATGGTGAGGTCTGCAAGCCCGTCCGCAACTTTGTTGTGTTTCCTCGGCATCCACACCACGGGGTCATCAGCTAAAGTCGGTGGTCTCCACCCTTTTTCATAGAAGCCGTAAAAATACTTAGTGATTCGTTGCATGATGGGTTCATCTCCTGGATGTCGCATGGCAGCCCTTCCACACAAAACGTCTACCAAAGCCTGGTTGTCACATATGAACAAAAAGCATCTCCCCCACCTGTCCCAATTAAAAAGGGCGGCTGGCGTGCTCGTAATATCAGTTTGTTCCACCCCACCGGGGCCAAAGCGCAGCCGTTGCTTTTTGGAAGGCCTCTCGGAACTTACGTTGGAAATAACGGTTTTTTGCTTCGTATTGGGTACGTCGGCCACCCTGCAAATGTGGTCTACGAAGTCGGGCATCTCAGATTTCCAGACATTTACGTCTACCTTCTCCCTGTGCGACCTCCAGTGCGTGCCCCGGAACTTCACCATGAGATCTTCCCATGCTGTCTTTTCGCCTCCCGTCCTCTGTGTCCATCCCTCCTTCCGCCTTCGTTCCTGCCGCAGGTCACGCATGACTTCCCACGTTTGTCTTGATCGGCACGTGCGTGCGCTGAGCAACGGCTTGCAGCAGGTACCGATTTGAAAAACTCCCTCCCTCCATGCTGATGTGTGGTATGCGCACAATATACGTACATGTATCGGCTGCACCCCTGTAGTTGCGAACCACAACTTAATCTTAGAAGCTGTAACCCGTAAGTAAGTAGAATAATCAACAACCCCTTTATGCCACCTCATGTTGAAGACCCCCCTTAAGAATTTAAGCTCCCATCGCCACAATTCCCCCAATATGGAAATAGACAAAGCCCATCCAGATGCCCCAAATATAGCAGAAGATTGCGGTCCCCTTCCCCATGCCCGTAGCTTTTCTTGCATAGGACCTGGCCCTCCGAGAATATGTTTCTGAGACCAATAAAGCGTTTCTGCACAGTGCAGCCGGTGTCTCATGGCCGCGCCAGTGGAGCCCCTTTCGTCAAACAGCTCTCCCAAGATGATGATTGCTTCCATGCGCTTGAAGTTCAGGATACCCTCCGGCGTCTTACAAGAAAAACTCGTTTCCAATCCGACGGCGTCCCCGCCCACGACGAACTGTAATGACGATGGTTTCCAAGAGAAACTGTTGGCGTATATCGACTCCGTGACGTCATCGACCATGTTTTGCATCTGGCACGCCGTGTCCGCAACCAGTATCACATTGTCTGCCCAAACCATGTGTGTTATGTGTGTTCCATTGTCGCCGTCGCACTGTATTCCATAGGGGGGGCAGGATTTGTTCGCCCATCTGTGCGTGCATGGTGCTAGGATGTATTCCATGACCAACGTGAATAAAGCTGGTGTGTCCACTCCCCCTTGTTTCCCTCCCCTCAGAAAATCAAAATAAGCCGATGGTTCGCACCCTGGCAAAAGTAGCCGAGCTTTGATATCTGACAGCTCACGCAATATATTGATCGTAGTTCGCGGGTGCACCCCGTGCCATTCCAAGGCTCTGGCGACTAAGTCATGGGTCATGCAATCGAAGGCGGTGCGCACGTCCAAACAACATATAAACAAGGACATCCCGCTATATGTGTCGGCATTCCAGAATAACTGCCTCAGTAGCCCCGTAATGTCAGTTGTTGCTTTGTGTTTCTGGAACCCGAACGACCAAACATGAGTAGGTCGAATCTCTGACACCAATACGTGCTTGATTGCCCTTTGGTACCATTTTTGCCCACATGGGATCTTTGATATCCAACGCAACTTGTCCAAAGAAGGGATCTGCTGTGTTTCCCCCGGTTTCGGTATGCCCGTGTACTCCATAAACTTCCAGGATAAAGGGTCCGGGGTGCTCAAGGATCCCTGTCGTTCTCTGAAGCGGTGCCAGTACAGGATCACCAATGGATACGGTAACATCTTGTAAACTTCCGGGGCCAAGTTGTCTTGCCCAGGCGATGCGTTTGATTTCATCTCCGCCCTGGCCGCGATGCAATCAAAGAGCGTGATATCCCTGGCGTGCCTGCCGTCGAGCTTGCGGTCGACATGACGTGAATTGTATGTTTCCAAACGTCGCCGTTGTTCCCGAAAACTGTTCCCCTCATCACCGAACCTGTTTTTCCCAAAGTCGTATGCTTCATATGTCCATTGTTGCCTATCCGCGGTTGCACCCATACTCCCCAAATCAAGAAATAACGGTAATTTATGCACCCTCCCCGCCGCTGATATGCTTCGCAACTTGTTGATATTTCCGGACAGCCGACGCTTTCTCTTTGCAGCCCTAAGTTGACGTACAGCTCGTTTACGCTCCTCCCCATGTGATGTTCGAACTCTTTCCGCGGCCTCTCGCAGGGCCAACTTTCCGGCGCTAGTTCGTGCTGCGTCACGCCCTTTGGATGTACTGTGCGGCGTGGTCTCCATAATCTCTTTCAGCCTGTCTTCCAGCTCATCCAGTGGCGGCCGGTCCAGAGCTAAATTACACGCATCGTTCAAAAAGGATTCTTTCGCTGCTTTATCTGCTGGGTCCCACCCAGTAGTTGGTTTGGGGTAATCTGATTGGCGTGCGCATTGAATTGGCGTTGGAATTTTGACTGTGGCAACTACTGGGACATGATCCGATTTGAGTAGAACCCCAACCGTTTGTCGTAACGGCGTCGCGTTCCCCATAATCCCACCAGACACGCAGACATAATCAATCTGAGTCTTCCTAGCTTTCTTCCTTCGTCTCCCCCACGTCCATAGTTGGTCTCCCGCCCCAGCTCCCATGCCATTCGTGCTGCCGTTCTTCTGCTTCGTGCTGCTATCCTCGCCCTCCTCCAATTTGTAAATCGAGTCCTTCATCTCCTCATGTACGTTCATGTGTGGATATGTATTTAATGCTCGCAGGTCCAGATCACGTAGCCATGCCAATGTCGAGTGCTCAGTTTTCCGCCTTTTCCCGTGTAGCGCACAACACCCGGTAACGCCACGAACGTTTGCTGGCAACTCCACGTTAAAATCGCCAACGAGTACCACCTGAAAGTCCACTGCCACTTGACTCTGACGAGTGTGGCGGACGAATTGTTGCACTTCGTGGCACACTTCCTCCCCCCGACTGTCGTCATGATGCAGATGCACGTTAATTAAGATCACCCTGCCGAGGACCAAACCAGCCCAGAACTGTCCAAAAACTGACTTTCTTACAGCAGGCATCAAGCGTCTAGACACCAAGAAACCGCAATCACTCGTTGTTTTTGTGTACAGAACCAGCTGGCTATAAACAAAACCACTTAATTTCCCCCACTTCGCAACCTCTTGTAACCCACAAATATCCACCCCCAAATTCCGAATTGCCCGGCATACCCTACCCGCCGCCTTCACACACTTGAAATTGACATTCCAAGAGATCAGTGACAGGTGGTCTACTGTGGCCGATCAGCGCCCGCTACCGCGGAACAGGCGCAGCTGCTTGTGCACCTCGTCGGCACTCCGGGACAACACCTGCTGGCACCACTCCTCAGAGAACTGCGCGCGGCCCTCGGCATCGATTATGCCAGCCTCAAGGTTGTTAACCAAGATGTGGAAATCGGGTTGCCACGTGCACTGGATAGACACCTGCCCGGCGTTCTGCATCAACACCGTCCGGATGAAGTCCTGGATCTTCCCAAACGCTGAAAACCGTTGCTGGACCGCCGGCTCCCTCTCGATCTGAGCCCAGACTTTGCGCCCGCTGAACGTGTAGGAGGCGAGCGCGGCCTCGAACAACCCAGCGATTTCCTCCGCGAAGCCCGTCTCCACGGGGACGAAAACCCTGTCAGATTTCGCACCTCGCCCGAGAGTCATTTTCTCGTGATGGATCTTTGGTTTGAGGGACGGTGGCGCCGCCTCCACTAGCTTCGTAATCAACAGCTCGGCCTGCGGTCGGTCTATCCCGGTGTCCTTCCTGGTGGCATATTCAGCAAAATTTTTCAAAATAATCTTTGAAGGTACAAATGCTCTGGTCGTCGGGATTCCCGTCGCACTACCTGCATCGGTGCTCACCCCGCTGCCAGGGCCGGTCTTCATCGTAAACATGTCGTTCTGGAGTGCCTGGATCTGCTCGTTGTGCGATGCTACCGTACTTTGTAAGCTTTCCAAACCAGTTCGAACAGGCTTGATCTTCTCTTCGATCTGCTTGCCCAGCCTCTCGTCCAGCTTGGCGAAGAAGTCCTCTGACGACATCTGTGGCAACATCTTGATATATGCTCGGGGTCACGTCGAGTAATGCCCTCCAGCGGGCGAGAACAATCTTGCCTTCCAGCGGGCGAGAACAATCTTGCCCTACCAACGGGCGAGAACACTGAATCTTGCCCTTCCCACGGGCGAGAACAATCTTGCCCTTCCCACGGGCGAGAAAATCTTGCCCTTCCCACGGGCGAGAAGAATCTTGCTAGAACGGGAGGTTGTCGTTGGAACCTCCAGGCGCGGGGGCCGCTATGGCGGCGGCGCCTCGGACCTGCCCGCGCGGCGCCCGGCGGCGGGCGGCAGCCCGGCGGGGGGACCCCTTGACTCCTCCACACGGCCCTCCCAACAATCACAGTGGCCCCAAAAGGGCTCACTGGAAGCCAGCGGCATGGCGTAATCAAGCCTCTTAAACAAGTCCAGGACGCAACAGCGATGATGCACTACGGCCTCACGTCCCAATCCCCTCCCCAGAAGCCCTTGCAGGCATTCCCTTTGACTGCGGGAGGCGCCCGCGTGAGAGGCGAGCGCCGCATGGAACTGCCATCCAGGCGAGAACCCTGTCTTTGAAAGGAACCACCCTCCATCCTTCCAGCTGTAGGGAGTGATGGGAGGTAAGGTCATCAAAACATTTCAAGGACGCGCCTAACGAGAGCCACGTCTTGAAAGGGAGCCGTCCTCCGCCCGCACAGGTGTTGCACCATGTTGCACTTCTGGTGGCACGGCTCGAGGAAGTCTCGAGCGAGAACCCCGTGTTCAAAAGGGGCTGCCACCCCCATCCGTCGAGACGCTGCGCATACTCATGTATATAAACATCCACACATACGCAAAAAAAGCTATGGCCACAGAGGGAGGGCGCGCCCCCCTGTCTGGACCCCAGGCACGCATCGGAGGGAGGAGGAGGAGGAGAGGGGAGGCCCAGAAGGCGCAGAAGTGGTGCGGGAAAGGGCCGAGGAGGGCGGAGGAGGGCCTTTCCTCTCGGCGGGGGTCCTGCCACTGGCCAGTGTATTCTCGTCCATCTGGCCACTTGTAGGTGCCGCGGCCGTGCTTCATGTCCTGCAAGTACTCGCC